ACGGCCTTGTGGCGGTATTGGATGAACTTGTAAGCGAATAGGCCGCCTACGATGCCGAGCCAGAGCATCATCACCCAGATCCTCTGCCAATTGTCCTCAACGAAATATAGGAACTTGTCGTACGCTCTTAAGATGGGGTTGCTCTCGATTGTGGGCTTCAACTTTTGGCTCAGCAACTGACTCAGAACTTGGCTGTCCACTCGCACCGATTGGTTCGGGGCTTCCAATAATAGAGTCTCTAAGTTGTTAATCTGCACCACCACCACCACCAAATTCAATGTTATAGAAGAAGAAATTTCAATTTTCCTTTCAGTTTTATTATGTGGATTTGAACTTACCATGATGTAGCCAGCATTTCTAGAGTCCAATTCTTTCATGATCAAGGCCGCATACTCTCTTGCTTGTTTCTGAATTGTGGAAAGCTTGTTCGCAGAGGCACTCATCTTGATAATCTACAAGCAGTAAATTCAAATTTAAAGTCAAATTCGAACACGGTTTAATCGTTGTATTAAGTTCGTTTCTAACTAATTACATAGTTCGTTATTGTATAGTTTATATTTCTGTTAATGTAAATCTGACTCATGTATATAAAGAGGACAACTGTACTCTTTTGAAGTAATGAGAATATTCAACTTTTTCTCATTCTATTACTAATTTGGTATTAGTTGTATTCAGTTTTCTCCCGTGCATTTCTATGTGATTTCTTAATCCTCATCATGCAGTCAATCACCGACCATCCCGAGGATCCTTTTTTGCCACCTGCTTCTTCAACTGCTTATTCTCAGAAGCCATCCTCTTCTTTATCCGGTGATAATTCTGCTTTCAATCCTTACTATCTCCATCACGATGATAATCTCGACCTGGTTCTTGTCGATCAATTATTGATGGAGGCATCTTATCGATCAATTATTGATGGAGGAAAATTATACCTCCTGGAGCCGTCAAGAACAAATTGGGTTTCACCAATGGAACAATTACTCGACCTTTTGGAGATTTTTACTAGCCGCCTAGATTCGTAATAATCACATTATTATTGCATGGTTTCTCGATTCAGTGTAAAAGGATATCTCTACAAGTACTCTATTTTCAGAATTTGATCGTGATATATGGATTGATTTAAAGGAAATGTTTGAGAAGAGCAATGATCCTCGCATTTTTCAATTGAAGCGCGCTCTCGCCACCGTTGCTCAAGATCAATAATCGTTAGTGTTTACTTCACAAAATTGAAGTCTCTTTGGGATGAATTGAGAAGATATCGTTCTTGTTCTTGTTTGTGTGGAGGTGCGAAATCTGCAACTCTTTTTTTACAGTATGAATATTTGATGAATTTTTTTGTGGGATTAAACGAGTCTTATTCTCACACTCGTGTTCAATTACTGCTTATGGATCCCCCTCTATCCATTAACAAGGCCTTTTCTCTGGTAAATGAAGAGGAACAACATCGTTCGATTAATGCTTCATTGTCGAACACTACTGTTCCATCATTTGCTATGGCTGTTCAACATTCTACTAATGTTAACAAGTCCCATTCGAAAACTAATTCTAATTCGAAGTCGAAAAATGAGCTCTCTATTTGCACTCAATGTGGCATCTTAGGCCATACCATGCCCCACCTCTTGGCAAAGTAGGCTGATGGGCAAGACCCCTCCAGCCRCAATGGTGTGGGGCGTCAGAGGCTGTTGCCTCGTGGCCAACTCGAAGGGGCTGAAGTTCGACGCAGAGCTTTTTGGTTGTTGGTGTTATAAGCTTCATGACTATCCACCCTACTATAAATTTCAAGGTCAGCAATCGTCTTCTCATTCTACTGCAAATACTAATTCTGTTACTTTGCAATCTCAGGTTCCTGTAGTCATATGAAAGCTTGGATCTCGAGCCATGGCTGTTACTCGAGCCGATTTTGGATCTAATATGGCGACAACTGATTTAATTGCTTTAGTCTCAGTTGGCGAATTCTAGAGCTCCTGCTCATGATGGCAACTCTATTTCTTACGTGGCAAGTATAGCTGATTCTTCTATGCCTTTCAACCAGTCTTGGATTATTGAATATGGAGCCTCGGCTCATATTTGTTGCTCAAAGTCCTTATTGTAGAATTTATCTCGAGTTTAACCCCTTACTGTCAACTCGCCAAACAATATGCAGTTTATTGTGGAATTCAAAGGTTCTGTACGCATATCAGAAGTCATTGCTCTTCATAATGTCTTCTATATTCCTACATTTCATTACAACCTTATATCCGTTGGAGCTTTAACTAGGGATTTTTTCAAATATATGAGTGGATTTCTCTAATAATTCTTGTCTTTTTCAGGACAAGTATACTTAGAGGACAATTGGCAAGGGTATTTTATAAAATGATCTCTATTATCTCGGCAGTTCGCTCCTTGGTGATGTTCCTTCATCTACTATTTGTAGTTCTTCACATTCTGTAAAAACAAACCTTCATTTAAAATTTGGCACAATGGCTTTGGACATCCATCTTTTAAGCAATTGCATGTTGTACGTGATACACTACCGTTTGATTCCAATGTATGCAAATATCATCTATGTTCTATGTGTCCTTTGGCAAAACAAAAGAATTTATCATTTACTTCGAATAATAACATTTCGAATAATAACATGGCTACTCATGTTTTGATTTGATTCATGCTGATGTTTGGGTGTCGTTTACACATCATACTTGTCATGACTATCAGTTTTACTATTGTTGATGGTTGTACTTGGTTTACTTGGATTTTTTTGCTATGCAATAAATCTAATGAGTTGTATGTCATAGCTTGGGTTTTTACCTATGTTGAGACGCAGTTTAGTGCTAAGATTAAGACATAATGCCCCTGAGCTGCAGTTTAAGGATTTTTTTTTTTCCCTCAAAGGGAGTTTTTCAACAATTTTCGTGTGTTGGCCACCCACCTGGGGCAAAATTCTATGGTTGAACGTAAGCACCAACACATACTTCATGGAGCTCGTGCTCTGTACTCTCAGTCTCAAGTTCCTATTAATTTTTTGGGGGACTGTGTCTTAACAACAATATATCTTATCAATCGAACTCCTTCAACACTTTCATTGGCATAGTTTTTTTCAGGAGCTTTATGGTCATATTCCAGATTATAGATCCTTACGTGTTTTTGGTTCTCTGTGTTTTGCCTCTACATTGGTCTGCTCATAGAACCAAATTTGAACCTTGTGCCTCTGCCTGTGTATTTGTTGGATATGTTGCTTGCATAAAATGTTATTGTCTTTATGATATACAACACAAGAAGCTGTTCATATCTCGAGATGTTATTTTTCATGAAACATGTTTCCCCTTTCATGATACTCCGAGTTTTGATCCCTTTCCAAACGCAGTATTGCCCCATCTTTCCATTATACTATTCGGCATTCAGAATCTCCAACTTTGTCATCAGCCTCTCCTAGTATACCAACTGCTACTGATGGTATACCTACTGATGAGCATGGGATTCATTCTTCACCACCGAATGGGATTGCTTCTTCAAGACCTTGTGAGGAATAACATCACTTTTGGTATTAAAATGCGAAAGAAACAGCCCGAAGGGAATACACAGCTGACCCACCTATTCGAGAGGGTGGGTATTCTCTCCCTTACAGCCTTTTTGGCACTCAAAAAACTAGACTCCCCTCCTCTTATCCTACTCGTCCTTTTTCTACCAGCACACTCTCACCCAAACACTACTGGGACCCACTAACAAAACCGTTATCCCTAAACATTCTCTAACATCATTTATTCCCTAGTATAATTCCCTTTTTACCCCTCCTATGGTAAGTATTCACTATTGCAACTTCCCCCTCGTCAACTCCACCTTGTCCTCAAAGGGGGAAATCTGGAAACTGGTGTCGCAAGTCATAGAAGGACTACCAAATTGCCTCTTCTTCAGGTAAGCCCTTCCAACGAATCAAAGCTTCCTTTTCACCAGTGTCCCTGTTGGTACCCGTGGCAAATATTTCTTCAGGTTCTGCACGCCATTCCAAATCCTCTGTCAGCTGCTGTGGAGTTGGCCGAACCGGAATGTTGGAGCGCACGACCCTCTTGAGTTGAGAAACGTGAAAAACTGGGTGAATGGCTGCATTTTCGGGCAATTCCAGTTTGTACACGACTGCACCAATTTTCTGCAAAATTCTAAAGGGCCCAAAGAACTTAGCAGACAGTTTTTCATTTCTTCTCTTAGCTAGTGATTTCTGTCGATATGGCCTCAGTTTCAGAAATACTTGATCCCCCTCCTGGAATTCCACCTCTGTGTGATGGGAATCGACCTGCTTCTTCATACGATTCTGCGCCTTAGACAGATTCTCCTTCAGCGCTACCAGGGCCACATCTCGGTCAGCCAACTGCTGATCAAAGGTTGCGTTGGACGTCTTTTGACTGCCATAAGACAAGAGAGGTGGGGGTGGACGTCCATAAACGACATGGAAATGAGTTGTGCCAATGGACCCATGATAAGTGGTGTTGTACCAGTATTCTTCCCATGGAAGCCATTGTCCCCAAGTACGCGGAGTGTTACAATCCTAACTCTTATCTTTGGATTGTACCCCACGAGTAGGTCATCGAGGACGATGACAGTTTAAGTGGGGGAGAATGTCACAACCATACTAGTAGAAAGTAGGTTGTGACGCCCACGTAGTGTGCAAGTGTCAGCGACAAGCATATGTCGCCCATCGGGCCATGTCAAGGGCCGAGAGTGAAGTGCCGTGATGCGACCAAGGAGGATGGTGCATCACCTATCACACCATATGGATGTGCTCAAGAATGCCTAGAGAAGGCA